CTCTTACCCTTTTATAAAATTAGAACTATTGGGGAAGTCAGAGAGTCTCTAGGATTTTAAATGGATCATTTCTCTCTTTCAGTGTGTGTTCAGGTGGACAAAACTAGGTTGCCTTGATTTGAGGTAGTACCTATGGGGCAAGCGCAGTCCTTGGCTATTTAAAGAGAAACAGCCTATCTGGAAAATTAACATTTGCAGGACCCTGTATTCCACTTTCTTAAGTGGACTTGGAACTTCTGTAGGTTTTAGGAGAAACAAGACACCAGCAGTTCAGAGCAGAAGTTCAAAGTTCACTGCAGAAGTGGTGACTTGTTGTGTAAAGAACTGGAATTTATAGACTATGCATATTGAAGAACACAATATATTTAAGAGTAAGCTCTGCACAGGAATGAACAATCTTCAGATTGCTGTTTCAGAAACAAGTATTGAAATTATTTTTCTTTGGAGATGTGTTTTTCCTTTGGGATTCCAAAGGATTAAAATGATTATATAGAACCGCTACAAAAATGAAAACGAGTACAACTAGATTATTTGGACTTAATTGAACATGTAGTATTGCACACAGAAAAAATATTAATTATTAATTATGTCTGAACTTGGAGAATCAAGGGATATGGGGCCTTGGAAAAAGCATTTGCCAGTTACTGTAGGTCATAAGAATGAAACATTGCCAAAAATCTTAGTCAATGTTTTAATTGCTTGTAGAGGTGGTTTCAGGACCAAATCAGCCCCTTACACATTTCCAGAAGTGTTATCTCAGCACAGCTTTGACACAAATTTGCTAATGGCAGATGTGAGCCCACAGCTGGCAGACTGATAATTTTCTGGTGTTTTGCCAGCACTTCTTTAATTAAACCACGTGTCAAGGATTTGTTAAAAACTGTGCTTTTCAAATGTTAACCAAAAGCTAAAAGACTAATTGGGTGGTTTCTTTGTTTTATAGTCTTTACTAGCAGCTCATTTTAAGAAAACTCTAATGGTACATTACAAAGAAAATACAGTGTGTTGCTGTCCCTCAGACTACTTTCATACCTGCATATTTCAGAAGAAACTGAGGCATAACTAAAGCTGCTGTTTCCAAAGCACAAAGTTTCTATCAACAGCAGGCACAATGCATTTCAAGAAGTTTGGCCCGAGGTCCCACAAGACAAAGAAATCCTTCTAAAATTTAGTCTTGAGTGCTGCCTGCCCCATCACTGTGCTGCTGCTGCTGCTGATTTCCTCACGCTCTGAAGGCGCAGGAGGGAATTCTGGCCCGGGTGTCCTCCTTGAAACAGCCGTGTGCAAGTGCAGCAGCCCTGAGACACCTTACCCTGTGTGAAAATACCCGTATCCAGCACTTTGAAGGCACTTCGTTGAGTGCAGCCCCACATGCTAAATTTACATCATTGTGTTGTCCAAGCAGCATATTTTAAGTAGGAGAAAGATCATCTAAAAACATACAAAATTATGCATTCTAGATGCTGTATCTAATTTTGCAGTGCACAGCTGAAGGAACAACGATTTAAAAACCCTCTCCCAGCAGAAAGTATGTATTTCTAGATAATTTATATCTGCCTCTACTCAAAGGAATCTGAGATTTATCTTAGTAGATGCAGAGTATATTTTTTGCTGCTTTGGCCTCCCTAGTCTTAAAAAAGACTCCCTTAATAACCCTCTTATTAATCACAGGACAGAGTTTTTGAGGAAAAAAAAGAGAAATTCCAGATCCATCACTAACAAAACCCTGAATCAAAGTCAACATTTTGTTTACCAAAAAACTGTTTTCAGGTCTCCAACAGGCAGCACAATTTTAATGCCTTGATGTCACTGAGGGGAAACCGAGGGAGAATCACACAGTAAGTTAAATATCACAGCAAAGTTCATTCCAAAAGTCTCTGGGAAATTTTGGAAAGAGATCTGGGCTGTTTAAATCCTAGTCCTCTGGCTTAGCCAGAGAACATTCTTCACCTGCAGCCATGCCAATGTGCCTGCTGGCTGCAGCACTTTGCCTTGGCTGGGCAGGGGCTGTGCTGGCAGAGCTGCAGCCCCAGCGCCGCCTCTGCCCGCTCCACTTCTGCCTGGGAAGGGAAATAGGAGCTGCCTTTGGGCTTGCCATCTTCTCATCACAGATGCTTCTTGCTGTATCTTAGGAGTTTTAGTCAAGCTAGATATGACAGAAATAGTAATTAAATTGAAGTATAAAAATAGCTTGTACTCTCAGGGAACAAATAAAAAAATAGGATCTACAGGACCCCCTGTACTGAAGCTTCACTTTTGATTGTACAGGGTCTTGCTTTTTTATTTTAGGGTTTTCTGCCTACAAAAGTGCTGAAAAGCTAGAGAGGCCAAGAGAAAGTGTATGGCACATGTAGGTCTTTGAGAAAGGCTCAAGGATTTCATTTTCAGGGAGGCTGAGCTGTAGGCAGCATAAAACAGTCATTGCATTCAGCTGTGCATTAACAATTTAGGTGGGGTTAGTAAATGGTGTATTGATGTTAACTAGTATATACCTAGAGTATAATATAACTCTTAAGCCTTGGTGATTCATGGACTATAGTAATTTTGCCTACTTGTACTTCATAGCTGAAGAATATTTTAGAAGACATTAAAAATATAAATTAATATAATCTGTATCAAGAACAAAACAAAGTGTTTTTGCAGACCAGTTTGCTCATATTTTTCCTCAAAATTTTATATTGCAATTAAACCTTGATGAATGAAATGAAGGAAGGGCAATTGAGTTGGGGCTTCTAAAGCAGTAGGGATGTTCTGAGTTAGCCTGTTCTTCTGATTTTTGCTTGATCCACACAGTTTAGTGTGTTTGTCTCTCCTTGGTCTTGCTTTAAAGCACTGAGGTCTCTGTCTTGTGGGCAACTGTCAGTAAGTTTAAAAACAGAAATGGTAGCTATATGAAAAGGATCTTAGAAGGGATGGGTGTCATTATTTGTTGGCAACAGCAATGAATATTTTGATATTTTTACTCATACATTGCCTGCAGTTGGTGTGAGTGGGGTGTGCAGGAAATGGTTTATGAGCCAGAAATACTGGTACAGAAGAGCATGAGCTCAAGGGTCAGAAAAGGAAAAACAAGAAGCAACTAAACTTCACAATAGGCTGGTAGAGAAGGTATGCCAAAAAAAGGGAAAAGCATTCCAGAAAGAAACCCTTCAGGCTGACTTCTTGGCTGGTACAAACTGATGTTTGTTCTGCTGTAATTTAGTGTAGTGACCTGAATTTATGCCAGCTCAGGTTCTATCCCTTCACCTTTAGGACATGTGCAATAATTGGTTTCTGTGAAAAATAAATTTCCTTGCCTTGGATGGTGGTTGTGGTGAATAAATGTTCTGCATTCCTGTACCACACATGGAAGGAGCTGTGCTTCAGTTGTGGGAATATAGCTTTGCTTTCTGCATTTGGCACTAGAAAGACTTTTGGTCCCACCCTTCCAGTGGGGTGGTTCATGGTCCTGTTTTCAGGGAAGGCTTTTTGTTTGTTTATTTTTAGGTTTTCTTGGGTTTTGGTGGGTTTTTTTTTTTGTTTTTTTTTTTTTTTTTTTTTTTGGTGGTTTTTTTTTTTTTTTTTTTTTTTTTTTTTTTTTAATAGAAGGTTTGTTGAGGAAATCAGTATTTGCATGTACTTGGAGATCTCAATAGGGTGGGCAAAGAAGCACAGATGGCTGCTTGGCCAGAAACAGTGTTTATTCTAGAAGACTAGTTACCATGCTTTTTGTAGAAGATAAAGTAGTCCATGAACCTTCCCCTGGGCATGTCTTTGGTACAGTTTATAGCCCGCTTGAAAACTCTTGACTTTGACATCTCTTTGATCTAGTTACAAGCATCTTCTTAGGGAGATGGTGGATACAAAGCAAGAATTCCTCTGGGACCTCTGATGTGCCTGGCTTCCCCAGCAGACAACCAGTCTTTTCTACTATACAGACATAAGAGACTTGCAGTTGCAACAAGAGTTGTTTTTAGTGATTCTCTTCTGTTCCCTTTGAAAATACAGTTACTTAGCCATGTACTTAATATGATTTCTAATGTTTTTGAATAGTATTTTTAGTAGTCATTTTTATTATCTAAAGGCTATGCAAAAAAAATGCATCTGTGCCCAATGCTTGCCTATTTTGGCCAGGCATAGAAATTGTTCTAATTAACCCCCTGCATTTGGTAGAAGTCTTTCTCCCCTTTGTATGTGTCCACACACACTTCTGCTGTAACTGCCGTGAGGAATCAGGCAGAACAAAGTCGTTAAGTATTTAACTTGTATTTGCTTTTGGAATCTACTTCACATGCAAACAAGGCTGGTTTGCCAAAGGTGTGCATTGCAGGTGAACTAAGGAAGGATGATACTTCCACCTGTTAAACCTGCCCTGCCTCAATATCTGTGTGCACACATGCTTGTAGAAAAGCAGCTCTTAGTTGCAAAACTCCTATACCAACTCCTTAGTTGCAAGAGCTCAGGATCGGAAGGCATGACTTGAAATGCAAAGTCATGCAGTGGCTATAGTAGCAGCATGTAGAAATACAAAAGGAAAAGTGGAAGTATGGTATGGAAGCATAGGATGAGAATAAGAAGCTGCTGTGGTCAACTTTTAATAAGTTATGGAAGCATGTACATTGAGTGTTTCAACTCTGTTGAATCTGAGCCCAAAAAGTTAATGAAGAAAAATATGAAGCTGTTGTGAAAAGGAAGTAATTCTAATCTAGTATTGAATTTATTTTGAAGTGTGCTGTTGCTGAGGAAAATGACAGCTCAATAGAAGCTTTATTTTTTTTTTTGTAGAACTGTTGCTCCATTAACTTCACAAATTAATTTTCTTCAACAGGCACTTTTGATACTGTTACTTACAGCACAGCTTGTTACCTGTTTTAAAGAGGTCTCCTGATGTTTATATCATTCATCCAGATTAGAATTTTGCAATGCCTTCACTAACCTTCTAAAGTTCATTAATAGGAAGGCAAAAATAACTCTGCTGTTGATTATAATGCTACTTTTTTTTTTTTTTTTAATCTAAACAGATGTGTCCTGAAAGCAGCAGGAATATTAGAGAGGTACAGTGTGCATCATACAATAACAAGCCATTTATGGGTCGATTTTATGAATGGGAACCTTTTGCAGAAGGTAAGGGAAAACAACTTGGTTTTGCATTATTATACAGATTGTGTTTTGGAAAGGCAGATGTGATTTTTACTTAGTGGGAGCCATCAGGCAGCTTTGATCCACAGCTGATGTTACCTGTTTTTACAGCTGAAAATGAGTCAGTGCAGATGAGGGTAGGTTTATATCTGATACCCAGTTAAATCTGATAATGTTTGTTTCTAATGTAGCCATGTCTCAGTCCTTATCTATTGTGGGCAAAGTGAGGACTGGCAGAGCTGCACCTCTTTATCTCCAATTATGAACATTCAGTGTATGCTGTTCCTAATTAAAGCCATGTTTGCCCAAAAGGAAGTTTCAGAGCTGTACAACTCTGGTACTTTGTACCATGCCTTTAGGCAGAGCAAGGAGCCAGGTATCCCTGCAAGCACACGGCTGAAGGCACATTCTGCAGACAGCATTACTTCTGCAAGGTGGCCCTGAAGAGTTATGATGTGTTAGCTTTGATGCATCCCTTTTCAAACCCCAGCTGAGAAGACCCAGCCAATGCTGAGCCCAAATCCCTCTCCTTGCTTCCTACACAGCAGCTTTGACTCACTCTATCTTTTGCCAGGAAAGATGAATCAGGGGATCTAGAACATGCCGTGATCATTTCTTTTTCCCTCCCCTGCATAGAACAGCTTGCTCCTAATGTTTTTACTGGATCAAGAAGGGCAATTAAACTGTAATTCACAGCACTGTCTTGCTGGTGAGTTAAGTGTAATTATTATTGTTTTTTAAAAAGTTTGCATATTTTTATTTCTCCCTTGTTCAGATTGGTGATGTACATCACAGTGATGTAACAATAACATCTGCAAGGAAGTTTAAAGAAATAGTGAATGTTTTAATCATTCTGATAATTGAACTCTTTAATTTGAAATCTTAAATTCAGTTAACTTTCATTTTTAATTGTGATGAAAATTCCATAACCTTTTGATGGCTGAATAAAAAATCTATTGAAAAGAAAGATCCTGTTGATGGATTGAAAAGGCTACTGTGGGGATCTGGCCACAGGAGTCTCTCTTAGTGAAAAAAGGCTGCATTTGTTGAAAGGAGGGATACAGCTGTGGACTTTTTTGTCAGAAATTCTCTATAAGGTTAAATATGGAAAAAAGTTTCTCTCCAGGAGAACCTTTGCCTGATATTTTGCCTTCAGGAGGATACCTAGATATTCTTGTGCATCCAAAATATACCATCAAAATGCAGTATTTTCAAATCATCAACTGCAAAAAGTCCTGGTCAGCTGCAGACTTCTTGCTTTGGCTTCTGTTTGAAAATGTCAGCCAGGTATGTGTAATAAACAGCCTTTTAAGCAGCAGTTCCAGCCCTGGGTTTCTGTTCCAGCTGGTAGAGTTACACCTGTACAGATACAGGCACTGTGAGCTCTGCTCTCTGCAGGGTCCTGCAGGGACGTTGGGCTTTGCTGGCCTCTTCAGAATGGTGACAGTCAGGGCTGCCCCTCAAGTGTGTAAAACTTGAAAAAGCTAAAAATGTATTCTTTGGGGACTTGGCTTTTTTCTTCCTTCTAAGTGAAGGATATTACAAGGAGAAAAAGACTGCAAAGTTTGAGCAATTTCATTTTCTTAGAGAAAAAGAGAGCTTTTGCAAATCAGAACTTGGTTCACTGAAAATCAAACATGATTTACCCTAACAGATATTGAGGCTCTTCCCTCAAAGTAAAGCAAATGTTAAATTTAAATGGAAATAGTTCTGTTAATTTTTTTGTTTTATTATTTTACAATGAATTTTTAATGGGAAGTTTTCCAAAATGCATACTTGACCAAGCATTCCCTCCAAATGATGTTTTGGTTTGCTTTTTGTTGTAAATTAATCAGCTCTAGTTTCGGAGCTCTCCTTTCAGGTGACTGCACTTGTCTGCAGGGCAGGACATTTATTTCCCAGGAATCCTGACTGTTTCCAATGTGTGTGTGATTTCACATGTGCAGCTGTGGCTTGTGTTAGGGCTGACTGATGTTGGCTCTGGAGGCTATAGTAGGAGCAGGGACGTGGCTCAGGGATCATCCCGGTGGTGTCTGTACACTTGATTCCATTCCACTTGGTAGAGTCAAGATGTCTTTGGCTGAAGTGCTGGATGAAGCCAGCCGAGTTTCTAGGAGCAGAGCCACGCTCAGGTCTCGGGAGCAGTTGGAAGAGCTCGCTGCTGGCAGCCAGGCCTGGAGGCCGGAGAGCTGCGTGGAGCTGTCCCAGTCCCGTTCCCGTTCCCGGAGCGGTCCCGGTCCTGTTCCCGGAGCGGTCCCGGTCCTGTTCCCGGAGCAGCCCTGGTCCTGTTCCCGGAGCGGCCCCGGTCCTGTTCCTGTTCCCGGAGCGGCCCCGGTCCTGTTCCTGTTCCCGGAGCGGTCCCGGTCCCGTTCCCGGAGCGGCCCCGTTCCCGTTCCCGGAGCGGTCCCGGTCCCGGAGCAGCCCCGGTCCTGTTCCCATTCCCGGAGTGGCCCCATTCCTGCTGGGTGCTCCCGGGGCTGCGCCTCCACCTGCTGCGGGCCCGGCTGGCTCTGGCAGCCAGCAGCAGCTCTGCGAGGCCTGGCAGCCTTTCTTCCATTCCTTCTGCCGGGCCTGGCTGGCTCCTGTGAGCTCCCTGTTCTGGGTGCTGCTGACACACAGGACTTGTTACGGAGCCTGTAACACCACCTTGCTCCTGGAGCAGAGTCGGAGTCAGGCTGAGTTTCAGCTGGGATGAAAATTCCTGTGCCTGAAAGCAGGGTGTGTCAAATGGCACTGGTGTCACTGCTGCATTTTCTGTGGGGGAAAAATGTGTCCTCAGTGTCCCTCAGTGTTGTTGCTGCCAAACCTAACTACTGATGGGCACCACAAAGAATGATTCAAAATCAGCTGGGGCAAAAGAGGCTGACAGAGCTGGGAATCAGCACCCAGCCTTGTGATAGGTCAGGAGGCATCTCAGCTGGCTTCTCTTTACTTGAAATGTGTCAGAATCCAAGCATTGAATGAATGGAGGGATATTTGGTCAGCATGGTTTTTCATGCTGAACTTCAATGGCACTTTTTTCTCTAAAATGACACTCATGTCAATACTCCATCCTGAAGCCTGTGTTGTGTTCACAGAACTCACTGTGCAGGTAAATCTGTACATGCTGTAAAATCATTTATCAGTTCACTTTTGTCTTAAAATACCTCCTAGTAACCTGCCTTCTAGCTAGAGATGTCTGCCTGCTACAGCTGGGATAAATATAAGCTCTGAAGAAAATGATATTTATAGCTTCCACAAGGTTTAGTAAATACTGCAACTTCAATACTTTGTGTCAGACGAGAAGCATTTAAGATTTAGTATGAATCAGTTTGAGTATTAAGATGGAGATTGAAGAATAAAGCAAAGCTGCTGCATTTATTGATTTGTGGTTTTTTTCTTGCTGGATTTTTAAGTTTTCACTCATTTTGAATGACAAATTATCTTTTTCTAGCAGATCAAAATGTAGTGGTCCTACGTAAGATGTTGAAGTTGCTAAGAAACTTCTTCAGTCTGCTGGCAATTGATGACACTGAAGACACAGAGTGAGGTCTGATTAATATGATTTAAGTAATTATAAAATAGAAGAAAAGCATAAGATCTCTTAAGAATCTTGGTCAGGTGCTGCAAGATACAATAGCATCAAGCACTTGGAGTACCCAGGAGTCAGAGAGAGCTGGTGTCAGAGAGGAGGTCAGGGAGTGCAGTTACCAGGACATTGCAGAAGCTGCGTATGGATCCTGGACAGTCAGCTGAAGGCAGAGAGCAGCTGTGCTGATGTTTTAGGCTTGGGAGGTTGTGGTTCAGTTGCCTGGGCTTTGTGCAGACTAGAAGGGTATAAGGGCTTGAGAGGAGACCATTTATTCACTTCTATATTCTCATCAATAAGATGTTTTGTGGAGTATTTTCCATTCAGTGATGGAACAGCAGAAAGCTGTTCCAAGGCCAAACCTGAATCTATTATACTTGGATTTGGTGGTTGGAGTTCATTACATCTTGGTATGAAACCATTCTAGAAACACTGTGTAGGTTGATATATATGGAGAAATGTAATATTTGTGTCATCTGTTTATGTTAACTGGAAGTGGAACTTCAGTTTAGAGTACTCAGAGAATTGATTGTTGTGTATGGGTCAGGAAGGTGGGTCCTGGTGTGTTTTCTGAATGCCTGTGAACCTTGGCAGTGCAGTCCTTGAGACCCAAAGATAACTGAGTCCCAGTTTATTAATGCTTGGCCTTCCCTGATTTGTGACTGCCAGCTCCCTGGGGCTTAGGAGAGGCTGTGCTGAGCTACATTTACATTCTCTTAGCTTTGTGTGCAATACTTGGACAACCTAATGTTTTCACCCAGAGGACAAGAAGTCATCTTAATATTGTATTTATACTTTCTCAAGTAACTTACTTCTAGTTAGTGAGCATACACATATACATATATCCTTCGACTATATATGTATATATACATATAAACTGGGAATCTATACACAGTATCTCTAGAAATAATCCAGCTGTGCTGCAGTTCACCCAGCTGCAAGTTATTATATTCAATGAGGCAGCTGCTTGAAGTCTTCATTTCTCATTGCAGCAGACCATACTTCTCTGCTTCTCTTTTGCCTCCACCTGTTAGAAATTTCTTGATGGCTTCTATTCCAGTCTGTGGCTAGTTGTACTTTACAGTGCATGTCCTTTAATTGCATGCACTTTATTTCCTAAGACAATTTGGTTTTGCTTCTCCTGTTTTATGTGAAATGCTGTAGGCAGACAGATTCATCAATGAGGCATCAGTTTTGGGAGACTTGGAATGTAACGAGTAGATGGTGTTTATTTTTATTGACTAGTTACAATTCAAATAGTGCCTGCTTCCATAATGATAGGATACAAGACATCCTGAAGCATATACCTGTAATTACTGACAAGAGCTTAGGCACTATAGGCATAAAATCCCTCTTGAATTCTGATGGAATATGATCTCTAATTTCCTTCAGACTCAGTGGAAATCCTTTGTGAGGC